GATTCAATTTGGGTTATAGTTGACAGATTAACTAAGTCAGCACACTTCTTGCCTGTTAAGACTTCGTTTAATGCTGATCGGCTTGCTGCGTTGTATATGAATGAGATTCTTAGACTTCATGGTGTGCCAATGTCCATTGTGTCAGACCGAGATCCAAAGTTTGTTTCTAGATTTTGGCAGAGTCTACAAAGAAGGGTGTCGGGGTTATTTGTGCAGTATACTAAGTGATTTGAATGGAAGTGTCGAGCTAGCCGACATACCAGTTGTTAAGGAATTCCTCAACGTCTTTCCAAATGAGTTGCCTGGCCACTTAGTCGATAGAGAAATAGAGTTTACTGTGGACATCATGTTGGGAACACAGCCTATCTCCAAAACACCCTATAGGATGGCCCCAGCTGAACTTAGAGAACTGAAACTACAATTACAAGAATTGTTGGATAAGGGATTCATTAGGCCGAGCACTTCACCATGGGGAGCACCCGTTTTATTTGTTAAGAAAGAGGATGGCACGCTTCGCCTTTGCATCGACTACAGAGAACTTAATAAGGTGACCATTAAGAACAGGTACCCATTGCCTAAGATTGACGATTTGCTTGATCAACTACAAGGAGCACGAGTTTTTTCCAAGATTGATCTTAGGTCGGGCTACCACCAGCTGAAAGTTAAAGCCGAGGACATTGAGAAGACTGCTTTTCGAACAAGGTATGGCCACTACGAATTTTTGGTAATGCCTTTCGGAGTGACTAATGCCCCTACAGCGTTCATGAACTTGATGAATAGAGTCTTTAAGCCGCATCTAGATGAGTTCGTGGTTGTTTTTATTGACGACATATTGATCTATTCCAAGAGTACAATTGAGCACGAGAATCATCTGAGACTTGCCCTGCAAATCTTAAGAGACAGGAAGCTGTGCGCCAAGTTGAGTAAGTGCGAGTTTTGGCTTTTCAGCATCGCATTTTTAGGGCATGTGATTAATGAAGAGGGTATATCAGTTGATCCGAGTAAGATTGAAGCCATTGTGAATTGGCCGATGCCGACCAACGTGTTCGAGGTTCGTAGCTTTTTGGGCTTGGCAGGTTATTACATAAAGTTTGTGAAGGACTTCTCAAGGATAGCAGTACCATTGACGCAACTAACTAAGAAGGGAACAGCATATGAATGGACCGATGATAGAGAATCAGCCTTCCAAGAGTTGAAGACAAGGTTAGTTACGGCACCAGTTCTTGTACTCCCGTCAGGTAATGAGGAATTCTAGATTTTCAGTGATGCTTCACATAAGGGTTTGGGTTGTGTATTAATGCACGGGGGCAAAGTCATAGCATATGCATCTCGTCAGTTGAAACTTCATGAAAAGAACTATCCAACCCATGATTTGGAGCTAGTAGCCGTGGTGTTTGCTTTGAAGATTTGGCGCCACTACTTGTATGGAGCCTCTTGCCAAGTCTTTACAGATCACAAGAGTTTGAAGTACTTGTTCACCCAAAAGGAACTAAATTTGAGGCAGAGGAGATGGCTTGAATTATTGAAGGATTATGACATACAGATTCAGTATCACCCAGGTAAAGTAAACTCGGTAGCCGACGCATTGAGTAGGAAGTCAGTGGGAAGTTTGGCATGCCTAGCCATGATTTCAGTGGAGCCGACCACTATTGGGAAAGTAAAGGCAAGGCAAATGGAGGATGGATTCCTGAAGAAGGTAGCCGACGAGATTACCACCAGGCCGAGGTCAGGTTACACCCTTGAGAATGGAGTGCTTAAGTTTGAAGAAAGACTGTGCGTGGCCGACGTCCCAGAATTGAAAAGAAAGATTTTGCAAGACTCTCATAGATCCAAATTTGCGGTTCATCCAGGGAACACCAAGATGTATCAAGATGTAAAACAAACTTTTTAGTGGCCGAATATAAAAAGAGAGATAGCCAAATTCGTGTCTCAGTGTTTGTATTGTCAACAAGTGAAAGCGGAACATCAGAGGTCGGCAGGACTTCTCCAATCTTTGCCGATGTATGCTCCGCAGCTGACCACCGGCTTTTCTGAATAATTGGTTACATTTTGGATCGACGTTCAAGTGGTGTTGGGCCACTGATGGATCTACTCTTGGCATCTCGTATGGGGTCCATGAAAATACATCAATATTGCTGAGTAAGAAGGCTACCAACTCCTGCCTTTCAACTTCATCCAAAGAAGCGCCGATCATGAAGAACTTGTCAGGACTTCCGTCAATTTCGACCCGATGCAGGGCTTCAGTTTTTTTTTCACTTAGGATCCTCCCAATGTCTTCGAGGCTCTCCCTATCCGCTACCTCAATTGAGTGCACTTCCAATTCCCTCGGTCTCTTTGTAGCTAGAAGATAGCATGTCTGCACCGATTTTTGAGAGCCGCGAATTTGTTCGATACCGTATTAGGTCAGAAAGCAGAGCAACTGGTGGTAGGTGCTTGGCACGGCTTGCATTGTATGTAACCAAGTTCTGCCCATGATCAGATTATACGGCGAAGGGAGCTTGACAACCAGAAATTCCATGTCTACTGGTCTGGTGTCGGCCCGTACAGGTAGTGTGATCTTACCTAAAGGATACTCCAGGTTAGCATTGAAGCTGAATAACGGGTAATCAGCCGAAGACAGGTCCGAATCGGTAAAACCAAGTTTGACAAAAGTTTTGTAATACATTATCTCCGAAGTGCTGCCCTGGTCCATGAGGACATGCTCAATGGTGAATCTATTTTCATGTAGCACGATGATGAGGGGATCAGTGTGGGTGTGGGTCACTCCAACTAAATCACTGTCATCGAAACTAATCCTTCTAGTGTCGTGTGGCCGTTTCGCTAGTGTCATGGAGCTATGTGTGCTAGATGGCAACTGGATTGTGTGCACCTTACTTGGTGCCGGCAAGCTATATATCATATGGATTACACCAAGAGGGGGTGACTCCGGCCGTAGAGCTACTGTATTTGTTGAATTGTTCTTTCGGACGTATTGTGTAAGACGGCCGTCTTGCACCAATTCTTCCAGGTGATCTCTAAAAGAAAAACAACTATCGGTGTCGTGACCATGGTCTTTATGATACTCACATCGTTTATCTTGTCTTCTTGCATCGAGGGGCCCCGTCATCTTGGGCGGCCACTTGAAGAATGGAAGGTGTTGTATTTTCGACAGAATCTTATTGATCGGCTCTGTCAGCTCCGTGTATTTCTTTCCCGGATGCCTTCTGCGCCTGTTATCCACTTGTTATTGTTCATTACCTCGTTGTGAACATTGGTCTGTTGACTAGCGCGAATCATGCATTTTGTCTCATTTGGGTCGATTCTGCCATTCGGGGCTTCTTGAAGGCACAGGGCTAATCGGCTTAACAACTCCCGACGTGGCCGTCTCAACAGCTTCACGTCTGGCTTTGACTCGAAAGACATCATCTTCCACTTTGCAGTATTCTTCAACCTTCTTCACTAATGCCCAGACGGTTTTGAGGGGACGCCTGGTCCATGAACTGTAGAGGGGGCAGTCGGGATGCAATCCCATCTTAAAGGCGGCGACGGCCATGGAATCATTGTAAGCACTATCAACCAGATTAAATCATTCCCAATAGCGGGCCGACTATTCACGAAGAGTATCTTCCGGTTTAATTTGCATGGCCTAGAGAGCGTCGGCTTGCTTCGGCTGGACCTCATTGGCAATGAATCTTGCTTTGAATGACTTTTAGAGTTGGTGGAAGCTTTTAATTGATGCCGGCTCCAATTTATAGTACCACCTCACGGCCAGTGGTCCTAGACTTTTTGGAAATATCCGACACATGAGGGCTTCGTCGTCAGCATCAAGCGTCGTTGCTTGCTTGTAATGATGAATGTGATCAGTGGGGTCTGATTTTCTTTTGTAGACGGTGAACGACGGTGCCTTGAACTTCTGGGGTAGCATAGCCCTGGCGATTCGTCGCACGAATGGGTTGTGTTTATCTTCCTCATCCGAATCATCACTTTTCCTTCGTCTATGTCGTACATATGGACTTCTCTCAAATGAGCTGGATATATCAACATGTCCTTTCTTTTTAGGCTTCGGGGATGGTGAGTCTGAATCAATATCACTATTACGTTTCAGAAGTCGACGTCGGCGACCATCCTTCTTTCTTGAAGGTTGACCCCGGTCTTGGCATGCGGCTTGTTGGGATTTCACCACCTCCAAGACCAAATCCTGGTGCAGGCGCTCATTCTCAGCCAGCACGTTCTACAACCGCTGTTCATTTTGCTTTGCCTGATCCATGATCGTCTGCATTGTCTCATGTATTGAAGTTGAGGGTGATGTCTGAGCTATTGAGTCAAAGTTCAAGGCACGTCACGCGGCGATATTCTCCTGTCCCAGCATGTTTCTTGGTGTGAGGTCATCTCTTGATGTAGTTTCGTCAGCGACTATTGGAGGATCTTCCGTTATGCCCGCCATGGATGTATTTGAGTATTCTTATAGACGGCGCCAATTATGGTAATGTGGTTTGGAAATACTCTTAAATCCTGAAGGACGTTCCTCATCCTCTGATTGCCACCTAAAAAGGAATTAACACTCCGGTCGGGGGTGCCAGAATTAGCACTTCGACCAACAAGGCAGTATATGTCTCACGTTTGCTTATGTCTCAAGTTTCTTGGGGTTATCTCACATACCTTTCTTTGGATGATGTTCCTCTATTTATATCTGCCTTTGGGCCTCAAGGTCGGGCCCACTTTTAATCCACCGTGTGATTGTTCAGTTGGCTCCTTCTGTCGTAAACCAATTTCCATTCGGCTCCTCGCTCAACTGGTTCTGTGGCCGATTAGGATACTCAACTTCTGGATGGCACAAGATGGGGCCGAATATATAATATATATCTTGATTTTCCAAATGTATACTCGACCTCTTTGCATTCCCTGATATTCAGCTCCCACAGTACTTATATCCAAAGAAGAAGAGGAAGAGGAAGAGGAAGAGGAAGAGGAAGAGGATGTATCAACTCTGCTAACTACAAAAATAGGTGCAAAACTCACCTCTGAGTTACTTTACCACTATAAGACAAGTCATTATCAAAAAAATTGAAGAAATGAAGTAACATCACAAGCACAACTTCATAGGTTTTGTTTAAGACAAACTGGACCTTTACATATCAAAAAACAAGAAGAAAAGAAGTAAAACAAACTGGTAATTTTTTCAGCATCCATACCAAAACAAAACAGCATAACAACAACAGCCCAAACAAAAACAGCATATCAGCATATTAGCAGCCCAAACAAAACAGCACATCAACAAACAACATAGCAACAGAGCAGCAAAGAACCTTATTGAGCACTTGTACAATTATTTGTTAAATATAATTAAGTATTGTTTGCAGATTAGTATTAAAATTGGTGACTTCCTTAATCTGCATCAATTGCTTTTGACTAGTTATCCTTTATGACTGCTACTTTCTTATGCCTAGGTTTATTGGCAATTCAGACCTTTGTGGTTGACAAGTGAATAGACTATGTAGACCATCACTAGGCTTTCCTGTTTATTTAGACAGAATTTTTCTTTCTTTCTTTCTTTCTTCTTCTTTTTTTTTTTTTTTTTTTTTTTTGGTTTTTTTTTTAACAAAAAAAAAAATCAAAAAAAAATTTTTTTTTGACTTCATCAATGATAAAAAAGCTATTGAGAAGACTTCTCTTCTTCTTGGATGAGTCTTCCTCACCAGAACTGTTCATACAACCAGATTCACAGATGTCAAAGAAGTAAAGTCCATTGTTTGAACGCATAAATTGGATTGCCACATGTATCAAAAGAGTTTAATTTTTGTAGTGAAAACCAGAGAGGTTGTATCTTCTTTCTTAAAGGAAATCACCATAGAACCATCTTGCGTTTGGATGAAAATGGGATTAGATAACTTTTATTTCAACAAGTGAATCTAATTTGTAAACATCATATCATTGAATAAGTGATTAACACAATTTTGGTAAAGCTGTAGCCATGCCCACAGCATTACAAGTCAAGGTAAAACTGCAACCAATGCCAAAGCCATGGCCATAGCTCAGAACAATAGAATAGCTGCAGCAGTTGCAGCCACAACTCAGTCCAACAGTGCAATTGCATCAGATTGCATGCCCTTTGACAGCAATCTTTCAATTGTAAAGCAATTGTAAAGTAATAGCCAGCAATCTTCAATTGAATTGAATGAAAACATATTAAGCTAATTCATACCACTGCTTCCTGAAGCACTTCATTGATAGGTTTCTCCTTTTGTCTTGTTTGTCCTTTGATCTAAACATCCACTCTAGATATGAAATATGGGTCTTGGCTTTGATTTTTCCGGAAAAATAAAATAAAATAAAACATAGTACAAAATTAGAAGCAGCAAAATCAAAATGCTTTCGAAATAAATGTCGTCTATATTGCCAAACTTACCATGTCTTCCTTTAGTCATGCGTAGCCTTTTCTACTCATCGTGTGTAACACCTTCTGTTTTGCTCTCATCTCTTTGAATTTTTCACTCTTTTCCTGAGTGTAAACATTTGAAATGCCCACATTTTTTAAGGATTTGTAATCTTTATCTTAATTGTTATGAAAAGAAATGAGCTTCTACATAAAACTGTTATGAAAAAAAAAAACTTATAATGAAGCTTTTTGAAAGTCGATTTTTCACAAGTGCCTTTCTTTCATCCATTCCAATCTTATCAGGTTTGGTGAGGGCAATATTACGTGCTAAATTACCTTTACTTGCTATAGCGAGAGTTCTTACTTTTCTTGATAGTTCAGACTTGTAATTCCACCACAGTTTTGCGAACTTATGCATCACATGTGTCTTGTAAACATCATGTATTTTATATCTAAGCTGCATTTTTATATAACCAAACATTTAGTATTACAAGAAGGGGAAAAATAATGAATTGTTGTATGAAAATTAACTACATAAATATACTACTACCTTCACACAAGCCCATAACTTATCCTTAATCTCATCTAGAACTTTAGACCAATAATCTATATTAATTAGCACCATCTCCCGATCTAAGATCCCTTCTAAGGTTAATAAGTGCACTGATTCTTCTCCTATTGGTTGGTTCCTTTCATTGAAGTCGATCTCATCACACTCTTGTTTGCCTTTGCCATGTATCTTTAACTTTGACGGCCCCCTAGTTTTCTTTTTTGGTTGTTGACCAGAGTCAGCTACTCCATCTGCATTTGGTGATTCAATTTGTCGAGTATTGGAACCTACATCTAAAATGCTAATGGGTCCATCACTTCTATTATCCATTGTGGCAGCAACTATAGCTTCTTGCTCTTTCCTATGTCTTTTTGCTGCCTTTTTAGAACTCTTTATGACACATGAAAAAAACAAAAACAAGGCAGCCAATAATTGGTTAAAAATGTGTACCCAAATTAAATAAATTAGAAAAAAAATACTTGTTTGAAAGTTACCTCTGCACACATTGTTGGTTGGAAACTTCAATTACTAAATCCTTAGAATAGAATTCCACCTGCAAAAATGAAAGAACAAAACCAAGTCAAGTAATATTTTTTATATGAGATACAAGTATATGAAAGTGTTTTGTAAAAGGGGAAAATAAGAAACTACTAATTAATTTCATACATACCACAAATATCACATAGTGAAAAAGTGATTATTAAACATCAATCACAATAGAACACAAGTACTTATAATGTTATTTTACTTCATTACTGGGTCAACAAAACATGAATAGTAACTCATTCATCACGCAACACTTCCACACCCTCATAATCACTCCTTACATAGCACTCATCTTCATTACTATTGGCCATTTCAAGCCTAGCTATATCGACACGTTCACACGGCATGTAAGCATCATCATCATACATTTCAAAATCATGAAAACCCCTTCGGGGTGCTTTAAGTACAACTTCCTAACTGGATGTATCATTATATCTCAAAGAAAACACTTGTTTTTCTTGTGAGACTAAAATGAATGGATCTCTCTGAAATTGATGTCTGCCATGTTGTAAGTTAACCAAAGTAAATCCATCTTCAACTTTGACACCATTTCCAGTAGCTGCCTAATCACATATAAATAAAGGGACTTGGAATTTATAATAGTCCAATAAAATAATATCTTTAATAACCCCATAAAAAGAGATTTTTCTCACAA